GTAGGGCGGGAAAAAGTCCAGTTCGTTACCGAGAGCGCTCATCATGAACAGACTACGGGGTGCGATATGGGGCCGTTTGCTATTTATGAGCAGCACCAGAAGGCCTGACTCGTGTGGGGGCCCTTGAAAATACCTTAAAAATGAGCCCTGCAAAACTCAAGACCGATTGATGATGAGAAATCGGTAGTGCGCAAAGACCGGCGCCCCGATTGTTGAGACGGCGTTTGCGATAACACGGCAAAGGGGGGGGGGGAAAAAAAAGGGACCATGACGGACCCCGGCGGCGCGCCCGACCATGAGGTCGACGCGTGCTCTGTGTGGCTCGCTGTCATGCTTCATTGGGCATTTCAGGCTGTCGGGTGCGCCGGAGGGTTTTCGCAAAAGAGGCCGAAGGCTGCTCTGCCGACGGGATCAATCCTGTGGGCGTACCAAGAACTCAACATTTTCGGCGTAACGACGCAATTCGGCACATGTCCGAATGAGCCGAGGTCCCGTTTGCTCGTTCCTGCGTCATCTCTGATACCTACCTACCATAAGGTATGTAAGCAGCCCGATGAGCATGGTTCATAGTCACGTGGTGCATCTCGGACCAGCCGATGGCATGTCCCACCGTATTCCCGTTTGACCTCTCGGGCGGCTCGCCGAGTCCTGTTGATTCAAGTGACGTGTTGGGCATTTCAGGGTCCGGCTTGCCTGGTTCCTGTCGCTCCAACCTGGCAGGATCCAGGGTTATTCTAGTCGTAGGCGTTGGTTGGATCATTCAGACCTGAGACAGGGAGAAGCCTCAGATGCCACCCTCATTGAGCGGCTATTGATACAGTAGCCTGCCACGCACCTTTGCACAGTGCAGATCGCATCCGCCGACGTCACTACGCCAACTCTCGTATAGAAAATTGCAACCACTTCGGCATTCTGGGTACTATGAACCTAAGAGGACCGTAAGTCATAGTACATACATAGGAGACACCAACATCGGCCAGAATGCCATGTCCCGGCGAACAACACGGCCCCCAAATCTCGCTTGAACAGTACGCCGCCTCGTGAAGATTACGGCCTAAGTATTCTGGATCTTATCGTGACAGGAACAATGTGAGAGACCTAGTACGTGAGTTATCAAGGCACTTGTAGTACAGGAGTAGCCGCTGCGAATTTAGACGCGTGAATCATGGATAGCTTCTCTATGCTTGTCTGTCTTGTACGCCATTTCAAGAACCTCGTTGGCATGAATCCGATAACGTACCGAGATGTTTTGACCCCTGACCAAAAGGATTTTTTCAAGCTTGTTCGCCTAATACTGACCAAGTCATTCCATATCGCAAATTCCTCGTTTCGGCAGTCTAGCTCAAAGCCCGCGTCGCATGACCCCTCTCTGTCAACAGTAAAACCACGCGAGTCCTCAGTACCGTCCCGCATGAGTCTACTCGGTGGTTCCAGATCAGCAAACAGGTAGTACGCTGCCTAGTATTGCGAGTCTGCGTGATCGATCTCGATGCCTTCTGAGTTACTTGCCCTTTACAGGTCTTTGATATAAACGGAGTCCGGCCAGTTATGCGCCGCAAAGTCAGGCCGCCAGTCTGGGACAGGCTTCCAAGACTTGTACAGATACTCGCAGTCACACACGATAGCCACTGCCGCCACTTGGACCCTGGACGAGTGAGCGCAAGTGGATCCGCAATGGAAGGGCATATCGCATTAATATATCAACATCAAGTCATTGTCTTTCAAGTAAATAGTGGTCGTGGATTGCGATGTAGACTTTATCTGAGAGGACCGTCAAAGACGTAGTCCCGATTTGTAAAGTTGCCCCTACTAGCCTGCTAGTGCCTACGGGTACGCTGGTTTCCTTACTGATAACTAAAGCAGGCTTGGATACTATTTTAGGCTGAGAACGTTCAGTGCTCAAGGCGTCGTGGCAACGTGATTGGTTCCATACCAAAGACAATCCCGTATTGGTGGCCCCGGCTCAAAGTATAGAACTCATCATTTCCCTGCCATTCCCATCCATTCGGTAAGTTCCAGTCTTCATCGGAGTCAAAGTCTTCATCTTGGTGATGCCCCTCGCCTACTCGCTCGCAGGGCTTCGTCAACTCAAGCCGAACCCTCGCAGTTCAAGTTCCTTGAACGATGTGCCACAGAGTAATCCTGAACGACTTCAAACGTGGCGTGATATCACGCAAGTTAAGCAGCCAGTCCCCGTGGCACTATGTACGGTGAACTCGTCCATATTCAACCCTACGGAGGTATTGAATATCTTCTGCTCATCGATGACGAGGTGCTAGAAGTTCCTGGGCCGCACGTCGGCAAAGGCCCACTTTGATGATCCATCCTGGCCCATGAGCATAAATCAAAATACCGCGAGGTTTTGTATACTCGTCAAGTCCCGTAAGGCTCTGAAGGAACCTGTTCGGGCCGATCATGGGATTCGGTTCTACGTACATTCCCCGCTTCTCTTGTATGAACGAGATGAGCGTTAAGTCCGTGAGCGTTGTGGACGGTACCGCTGATGTGGTGGCGACCTGGTCGCGGTCGATCGGGAGTAGCTACAACAAATACCATAGCTAGAAGTTTCAGGGTTGGTAATAGGCCTAGTATCCTTTATAGTACTTATTAGTCGGGGCGATGTACAAAGTTGATGAGTCAGCTGCGATTCTCTGGAGTCCCTGTGTCGTGTGCTCCACCGAACCGCCTTGTTTCGGCAGAATACTCAGCTACCCTCCTGACACCTCGCGGGCCGAGGATCTTATCACATTGCCAAAGAGTCTTCTGCAAGATAGCAATGGAAACCTCTTCTGCGGGTTGCTGGACTTGCAAGCTTCGACACCGCAAATGCGATGCTGCCACACCAGCATGCGCGGAATGCGATGATCGAGGAATCCCGTGCTATGGATACGGGATGAAGCCTTCGTGGATGGATGGTGGGGCCATGGAAGTGAAAGAGCTCACGCGCATTAAGAAGGCTGTCAAACAACACTGCCAGGACGTTCGCAAGGCCCGGAACAACGCCCAGCAGTTGCGCAAGGCAGCCGTCCAACGATCACGGCAATATTCGTCCCGTCGGCGGGACGATACGCAAACCAACAAATCTTCAAGCGTCTTCAGGCCCCAGATGGCATCCACCCTGATGTACTACCTCGATCACGTTTTTGCCTGGCTCTACCCTTACTTTGACTTCCACTCCTCGCTGGGCGACAGAGGCTGGCTCCTCTCGACGTTGGGCAATGGAGGGCCTTTGTACCAAGCTGCCATTGCGCTATCGGCCTTACACCAAAGCGCTGTGCCGGACCGGCGGACAGAACAGATTCTCCGAAATCAGAGAGCAGTCCATCATCACTCCCAAGCTTTAAGAGAGCTGCGCGAATTATCCCGAAATACAGGGAGTCGGTTCAGCGACAATGCCCAAAGAGTTGAGTTTATCGCTTCAGGCTTGACGCTCATCAGCTACGAGGTAATGCTTTCAGGACGGGGGGACAGTCTTCTTGAAAAATTGTCGACCTTGGGATAGATTCTCCGTGCTGATAGTAAGGCTTACATCTTCTCACAGGTCTTCAATGGAGCTGAGTACGACTGGCTGCCACACCTGAATGCTGTCACAGGTGTGGTCCGTGAGCTTGAGCCGGGACTGGAACATGGCGCCGAGTCACCAGATTTTCAATCCGTCCACGACTTCTTGATAGGCGAGACACTGTGGTACGATATCCTTGCTTGCGTCTCAACAGACCGCGCACCTCGTCTTTCGTACCGACGCTGGCTTGAAGGTGCTACTTTTGATATGGCGAACCTAATGGGCTGCCATACATGGGCTGTAACATGTATTGGCGACTTGGCACACCTCCAGGAAGATACGAGAAGCACTTATTTGGATGAAACAATAAACTCGTCTGCAGTGGCCGTCAGGGCTCAGAGAATTGAACAACGCTTACGGGAGGGTGCGGCGACTCTGACTTTGCACACGGAGGCTCCTATGTCGGCCTGGATCACTCGCGTCTTTTCCCTTGCCGCAATAGCTCTGTCCAGAACCATCGGCATCAGGCCGTCGGGTTCGAATTCTGAGGTCTTTGGCATCATCAGCGAAAGCATCAACATTCTTGGTGCTTGGCCTCGGTCCATTTCCCTTCAGGGGCTTGTTTGGCCCTTGTGCATCATCGGGTGCATGGCCGAGGGCGATCAACAAACGTTTCTGGAGGATCTGCTAAATAATTACGTCAAGGACACTGGAGAGGCGGGCAATGGAGTCACGATTCTGCGAATCATTAGAGACTGTTGGAAAGCAGAGAGGTATCCCGGCTGGGACTGGAGGGACACCGCTTTTCGGAGCCGGCCCAGGGTTTTGCTCATCTGAAGAGAGCGCCTTGCATACAACGGCAGAGAAATCAAGTCAAACTCCACTCATCAAATCAGCAAGTCACCGATCAAGAGAATGCTACCTGCTTAGTTCTGCGGTGCAGACGGGTCCAGCATTGAGTTGGGGCAGTAGCTCGAGCCGGGTTGCGAATCTGGGAGGGAATGTCGAGCCGAGGACATCTTCCCCATGAACTGCAGCTCCCCATTTACACAAGTTCATGTCTATTAAAGAAACGACGTGGTCGGTCTGATGTACAAGGGAATTCGAAAGTACGCTTCTCACAGTTCTCTTCTCCCAGAATCACGCCTCATCAAACCCTCTGGCTGCCGTTTCAACGTTTCCTACCCCGCGAAATCTACTATCACCATACGACGATGAAGTATGAGCGCATGCCAATTGAAATCGAGTCGCCCGAAGAGTACGGCTACGAGAATATCAAGTACAACCTCTCTGAAAGTTCCATCACCGACCAAACTTTGGAAAGCCTCAACCTGAAGATCCCGAATCTGACCTTACTCTACAACGCTCATCGTGGAGAGACGAACCTCCGCACATTGATCGCCAATCATGCCAATGTGGCAGCTGACGATGTGCTCATCACCGGTGGTGCGGCTGGGGCCCTATTCATTGTTGCTACATCCCAGTTGGGTGCGGGTCAAGGCAAGCAAGGAAACCACCTTGTCGTGATTCGCCCCAACTACGCGACCAATCTCGAGACGCCCAAGGCCCTGGGCTGCGACATCACTCATATCGACATGACCTTTGAGTCTGGCTTCCAGCCCAACATCGACACTATCGAGGCTTCCATAAAGCCCAATACGCGACTTGTCTCGGTTACCTCTCCTCATAACCCGACTGGATCCACTCTTTCCCGCGCAGATCTCGAACGCCTCGTTGCGGTGACCAAGCGAAAGGGCGTTCTCCTTCTCGTCGATGAGACCTATCGCGATGTCTCCTATGGCGAAAGTCTCCCCGTGGCCGCATCTCTTGGCCCTCACGTTCTGAGCGTCAGCTCACTGTCCAAATCCTTTGGCATCCCCGGCATTCGTACTGGCTGGCTCATCTGCACCGATAAGAAGCTTCAGGAAACCTTTCTTGCGGCCAAAGAGCAGATCAGCATTAGTGGAAGTGTAATCAACGAGTGGATTGCCACGCAGGTACTTTCGCGCCGGGAGGAGATCTTGGCCGCTACCACGGATGAGATGCGCGCCAGGCTTGACTTGGTTGAGGAGTGGATCGAGAGTGAGGAGCTCCTGGAGTGGGTAAAGCCTACTGGGGGGGTTGTTTGCTTCCCAAGGATCAAGAAGGTGCCGACAGGCGGTTTTGCTGCTTTCTATGAGAGGCTTTTCAAAGAGCATTCAACCTATGTTGGGCCTGGGCACTGGTTCGACATGCCGGATAGCTCTTTCAGACTTGGGTATGGTTGGCCCACCCGGCAGGAGCTCAAAGCCGGTATGGAAGCCATCTCGGCTGCTTTACGAGAGGTGTGAAACAGTAGGTCGAATCCTCGAAAGGACTCTTTTATGGCTCCGGAGTAATAGTTCAATATTATAGTAATTGTTGAGAGGGCTTCACTCCTTATGTGAACCTCGTTTCATTGCTTTGGCTGTGTCTAAGAGCTCTGAATAGGTAGGTTAGGTGATATAACACTTGTGATGTGATTGTTGCTATCTCTCTGAATTACCGTTACCTACGGGGACCAGATATACCCATCTCATCCCTCGATCACGTAAGTAGTGATCCACCTGCTCTTGAGAGCACTGAACCCCGACCTCGGTGATCCCCATATCAGTGAATCCCATACCGTGATCACCGCCCCAGGTGATTCCCTATTGTTGGATCAACATTATCTCTATTATTATTTAGGACTATAATGCTAGGAATATTTATATTTACTAAATCCTTTACAGTCATCATTTCCCCAGTCTCAATGCTAGGATTTGAAATTTCAATACCTCGTCTCGCAAGAATATACAAAGCAGCTTAAGTGACTGAACCCGAAATGCCGCTCATAGCATGCCGAGCTTTCTGTAGCGGCTAACCCCGAAAATCAGGGCTGACATGCGGCTCCCTCGAGAGCGTAATCAGATTCGTCAAATCGAAAATGGACATTACCTCGCCGTTTTACAGCTCTTTACTTATTCTTCCCAGTTTCTGATACTTCCTACCATTCATTCTTTTACCCAAGCAGTAGAAAACATCAAGGACTGCAGATCCGTCGGCCCCAGATATCTCTTTCAAGAATCAATTGTCTCGAGACCTCATTTTTCTTTCATTATTCTGAAAGGCGGTGACAAGTCGGAACACTTTGAAGCCCTTGGTGATTCGATGACGTCAGGTAATCATACACTGCTTCCAACGCCTTGCTAATGTCACGGATCGGAGAACTATTGCAGCCGCGACTACAAGTCAGCAACCAAAGCAAGGGAAGCTCAGTCTTAATAAGGAACCACAGGTGAACCAGGCTCATTCCCATCACGACCTACATGCAAAATGAGTATGGAGTAGTGCCTATAGAACTTTGCTATATGTCTTTGTGGTGCATATGATCAAATTTGTTGATCAAACCCACACGCGATGGACCATCATTGTGCGACCCTTAGATGCCTCTGTTATCCGTTGCGTACAGGGCATGCACTTTCACATTTCGCTTGTAAGCAGATACCAACTATTCCTCCAACACCCGAATCCACAGTCGGTCTCGATGCAAATTCCGAATCAATAGCCACAAACCCAACGCGACCGGGCAGAAGTTTCTCAAATGAATTGGGATGAAGAGCTCGGAAACAAACGCAGCAAGCATGAAAGTGAAGCACATTTCAGTGGCTTTTACTTTGACCGATCACGAGAACGAAGATTTCGGGTACAATCCAGTCACGTAGTCAAGCTTCGTTCAACATTCTTGATCTTTCTCCTCTGATAACCGCAATGTCAAGTGTGCTAGGTCCTAACAATGTCTAGGCAGATTATTTCGACTTTGCAGCTCCATCGTCAATTATGTCAGGTTCCGTCCGAATCTGTCGTGAAAATCACATGAGTAAGAATGATCATGGCCGTGCTAACAACCCACGAATCAACAAAAATAGATGTGGCTTGGCATCAGAGGATGCATTCGGTGCATTCGATGGCTGACATACCGTCATCCAACAGGGGATACAGCCCTATGCTGGGCCCCATGCCCATGGACGGGGCTGAGCACAGTCACCTCAGAAATGGGGTTTGACAAGGTACACGATCCCCCGTTGAGCTTCACGTAAGCTTACAGTTTGCTATTCGTACCACAACACTGAGGTCGACACCAGATCCTTCGATGTGGCTGACGGACTTGGTCAACCATGCGCAGTGGAAGCGCGCTCTTGATGGTCGCACTGGACGTCTGATGCTTGTTTTAAAAGGCTTGCCTCTCCCGCGCGCCTCGACAGAAGCTGAACTTTATCGAATTCGAACATCACAGGTACCTTGGTCTTGTCTACATAATTCGGCCAATTGTATTTTTTACAAAATGTCATTCATCATAAAAGCTCTCCCGTTCATCGCCCTTGCAGCGGCGGCTGACCTGGAACCCGAGCTTGGTGGTTATACCTCCAGCGGTTCTCCTGCCACTGGACCCCCATTTGGCCTCCCTACTGAGCGCTTCGAAGCCGTCTTTGCAAAGCCGAACAACACGGCATCAGTCTCCTACGGCAACCTCGGCTTCAGCAACGGCTCCGATGCGTGGTCCGTCCATCTCGCTTTCGCCGCCAATGTCTCCCTCGCTGGTGCCACGCAGGCCGGCGATGATGTTGGCGAGGATCCTGTTACCCAGTTGACGATTCTCTCCCTGGAGCGCACCAAGGGCGCCAAACTCAACACGAAAGACGTCAGTGTTGCCATCTTCACCGGCTTCGCTGCCAATGCCACCAATAATGGTGACGACATCGACGGCTGCGACTTCTTGAGCGACGAGTGCCGCCGGGCCATTGAGACAACGGCAAGCGACGACGAAAGCAGTCCGCAACTGCAGGATGTCTGCAGCAGGTGGCTTTCGAACACGCAATCAACAACCCGTTTTGGTGAGTTTGTCGTTCCCGAAACCGATGCAGCCGTACTGACTTTGCTCCGTAGGTCTCGGATCCAACAACCTAGATGACGGCGAGCCCTTTAACGCTTTTGCCACAAGGCCGACCGAGGCTGGCACGAACGAGACCAGCGCAATGTATGAGTATGCCCTGACTAAGATCTGGGCTGTCATCTTGCATACCACCAAGGCCGGCTCGACGAACGAGTCGACCTCGTCGCTGACTGGTCTGCGTTGCCTGCGTGCCGGCACCATTGAGGAGGAGTCGGGCGAGTCTGGTGGAAACGATGGCGACGGAAACGACTCGGAGGCTGGTGGTGATGGCGACGGCGAGGGTGACGGAAGCGCTGCTGGCATAATCAAGGCTAGTGTGTCTGCTGTGATTCTGGCATTTGCAGCGGCCATGGTCATGGCTTAAATACATGGTACGGCACATATTGCATGATTTGCGACTGTAACGGATGCGACTTGGGCATAGAACCGGCATAGGCGTTGGTCATTTATTTCGGGGTGGCGCTCTCGATTTTCTAAGGAGGTCTTCAAACTCCGCTGGTAGCATAGAGGCCTTCTCCGACAATTCAAGATTGTGTTATTTTCAGAAATGTTTTTGGTGATGTTCATAATAGTCACTAGAAGGCATGCACTGCTGCAAAAGCATTGCCTTGCCAACACGATCTAGTACTCAGTC